TTTACTTTAGAGTAAATTTTCAATTGTTATAATATGAACCACCGAAAAGACACTTAAAGCTAGAACAGAAGCGATTTGAAATATGCAAACACTTACAGGGAATTTCATTTTTTAAATAGTAAAAATGTGTATCGGTTTTCTAGTACGAAAATCGTCAAAGCTTTTCTTCTACTGTAGACTATTGAAACATTCTGAAGATTTTTAATTGGGATCTAACCGATATCCTAAATCTTCGCATTTATATCTATAAGGCATGAAAGCGGAATTTAATATCCACACTTGAGCGACAGTGCTGAATAAAGCTGATGTCCATGCATTATTAATAGATAAGAACCGCTATTTCAGGACGTTTAACCACCTGTCATAAACCATTGCTGGCCTGTCTGCACCATCATCACCGCACACTATCTTTGGCCTGACAACTATTATTGTTCCACAAGACAACCGCAAAATCAAATCACCATTGCGTTACTCTAAAGATAGTTCTTTAGTTCCGAGCCGAAGGTTTATTATCTTTGGTTAAGCTTAAAGCACAAGTAATGCAAAAATAGGAAGCTTTTTATGTGTTTTACATTGCACACGCTAAAGAAACGAACGCGTATCGATTGAATAACTACAAATTTAGAATATTAAATAATATTTTGGAATTCGCTATTTGCAATGGATAATTCAGATTCGTAAAAGCTATAAGCAATTGCAGTAAACGCTTACAATGCGTACGTACGTAACATTTTCCAATCCTACAATATTTTCTGCTGCTACGTTTGTATTGAAATTTTAAATTTCACTTATGAGCCAGCTGACAAAACAGCGTACTATTAACTTTCCCCGGTAAAATGTATATTTTCCAGAGCAGTATTGAATATTAAGAGTTTTCCTTTGAAATTATATAAATGCGACCCGAAAACGTAGGTATTTTATTGCAACATTGCTTGAATTCGTCTGAGTGCCACACAATCATATTCTTGCAGTTGCTAACATACATAGCCATTTACCACACTTTTACCAGAAATTGAAAAGTGACTTCAATGGCCTCTTTCTTTAGATCCCGAGAAAAACAATGCATTTATTACTTTCTTGTCGAAGAGAAAATCATCAGGCTCTGAGTTAATAATTCTATATGAGTATACATAAAAGGTTGACTACTTAGTTGAATGCTGTTTCAGTTCCCGTTGCAAATATAACTTATAATGTATATTGCGTTCATTGCAGTTTGAGATATACATTCAGGGCCTGTGTCTGCACACTAATCGATTTAGCACATCACTCAGTTATAATTTATTACTTTGTAAGTCTTTTAAACTTAAAAGTAAGTCACGGATAGGACGCTTTCATAAAGCGTTTTTAACTGACGAAGTGAGACCACGATCATGAATTCTTCTATAAAATTACATTAGAATGGGTTTGGAAGAATTATACGACCGATATTCAATGATAAGGCAAAAGTTCAGGAAGATCAATTGGGAAGATTTGTGTCAAAAATCTATGTCTATTCGACCTTAGAATAAGGAAAGTTACCGAAAGTGAATAAATTTCTTTCGTTTCAGAATTTTATTAGGTTGGGAAATGTTGCTAAAACTATTTGACATCTTCAGCAAACATGTTTATGTATATTGTAGAGGCCACTTTTATTGAAGCACTAGGTACAGAACGCAGCAATATATGAACCTTTAAATGTATATTACCAAGGAAGGACAAAACATATGCATTTTGCTATTCAACAAATTCAGTAATGAGTCTCGACAAGTTAATAGACGAACATTACATTAAGAATAGAAACAGAAGGTCCCAAAACTAATTCCACACAATGCAAATTTTAATGTTTTTGTACATCAAATCTACAATTCATTCCCATTATTTACATCTATTTGATTCCCAGGAAATCAGATAATTTTTCATAGTCTCCATTGCGGAATTATCCACACAAAGAGGTTCTGTGCTGTGGAGAGATAAGGTTTTTATAAAAGGGAATTTGTTTTAGAAATCCTCAGAATACGACAAACGAGGAGACAAATAATAGGGCTTTTGTAGTTTTAAAATGGCTTTTTATAATAAATTTCTTTGTGGTGAATTTTGCAGCATAAGTTTTACTTGGAATGCAAATTAATGCTTATCTGATGGAATCTTTCAGCAGATTAACTGTGCCTTTGTAGATTGATTTGAAAATGAGGCAAATATATACTTAACTTAATGCAACAATAACTAACTTAAATAGTACGTAAATACGACTTGTATATTACATATATACGACCAGTCATTTATTTATTCGGTTTATAAATTATTTAAGAGGCAACGCAATAAATCAAATGTAGAAGAAACTAAAGCAATGTTTTCAACTAAAAGTTAATAATAAAGTGTATAACCATAAAAGTAACTTCTGCATTAGATCAAAGAGAAAGCTACACTTGCTTAGGAAAAACTCCATATAGATTCATACTGTTCAGTATCTTGATAACCAGATAAATGGAGGCAGTTCAATTTTATTTTCATAAATATCAGCAATTGTATGACTTTGAAGAAAGCTATTATGCGATATATTATATATATCGAAGATAATCATAATTATGTTATATTTTCAAGCAACTTCTCTATTTTTGATCTACATTTAATACGCAGAATATTGAAGAATCTTGCAGAAAACATATAAATATCGTTAGCAAAATAAATATGCTTTTTGGTAAAAAAACATATTGAAGTTCTGAAAGAATATTTTTTAAATTAAATGAAAAATTGGTACTATTTACGCGAAACTAAAAGTCACTTTCAAGTGTTTCGCACAGATAAAGTTACTGACTTTTCAGTTGTAAAATACGTATTTATGTTACCTTTTGCGTGAGTTGTGAATTCAAACATGTATATATTGGACCGAGAATTTCTGAAATTTAACAATTTTCTTAAGCACTTAAAATACTGGAACAAATTCGGTTTTTTTTTAATGTAGTCGTCGCTTTGTAGAACTTTACTATGGAATACTATTATTTGCTTCTCAGGCTCTGTTTTACTTCGATGGGTTTCTGATGTTTTTTAGCATTCTAAATTTTACTTTCATTTTATATTGCGCTATCTTTATAGCAAATTCTTTAAGTTCAGAATTCAGATTCCGTTATTTTGTGTTATATTATATTTCGCGACACTTTTGTCAAACGTATATTTTATATAAGCATTCACACTGCCAGTGACACGAATTAAAACAAAATGGGATAGTCATAACGAAAGAGCAGATTTGGATTCGTTTTAGTCAAATTAAAAAAGCAAGTATATAAAAAAAACGAATCCGAAACTGCTGTCAGTTAAATTACAAGGACAAGCTCGTAGATGAATAAGGTAAATAAATAAAAAATAAAAAGAAAACTAGCAATCCTTTTTGAAAAACGTGTGAATAGATCAGACGTATAAATCATCAACCATCGATTTATGGCTAACACAAATTAACTTTCTTTCTATTTTTTTTAAATAGGCTAATATTCGCTATCTGGTATTTGAGATCAAATTAAACTAATGGAAGCTTAGTTAAAACTGGAAATCTGGTTTGAAAGTTTTATTACATTAGTCCAAGTTTTATTTTAATTTTAAGTTTCGTTCTTGAAAATGTCTACCAATGGCTGAAAATAGGAAAATAGAATGCTGAACAGTCGGATTTAAGCAATAATTTTATACGCCTGAATTTTTTGAGCATTCATTAATTTTTAATTTTACTTTGGAATTTAAATAAGCATTTCAGGGGTAGGTTTCAGCCCAGCTCGAGCATAGATTATTTATGCTTTTGGTATATGTATAATAATACACATATTGAAGCAAGTTGGATATGTAAGTCAATATAGGGAAAGCTACCTGAATATATCTGACATGATAAGTTCAATATTTACTTATGTGCTTGTTGGCTGTGTACGTATACATACTTAATATTGACACAGAAACAAGAGTGATATATAAAACAACCCCATTTGGTACTTAATTGTGGGGCATTATTTCTATGAATACGGAATTTGCATATAAAGCATATTGCCGTTTTTCAAATTAGTCAAGCTCATTCGTATTAGAAGTTTGATTTTTCCGTTAATAAATTAAAGAGATATTAAAATCAGATTTTACCATTACACCTAAAATCGACATACGCGACATTATTAATAAACCAGTTGCATTTGCATTTTGTTACAACACACAAGGTTATAGAACGGTTCAAAACAAAACTATGTGGCTTCATTCTCGTGTGATGAAAAGAAAGAATTGTTCAAATCAAATATTTCAAATAAAAAGGCCGTTTTGTATCTAGCGATTTTAAAATATCTATTTCTGGTCGTTAGAAATTTCATCTGCACTTTCAAGAAGCGATCCTGCTCATTCTGCTCATCACTGATCAATATCTGTCGCGAATGTACTCGGTTTATCGATTATTTATTAATTAATTGTTACACATTTATATTTCGTAGATTCTAATTAACCATTAACCTACAACCTCCTATTTCCTGCTACCTTGTACAGATATTTATATTCCTGATCATACAAATCAGCTTCTTAAATGCAAATTGCAATTTCTTTCCGTCATTATGCATAATTGTTTGATTGCCTTGAACATGTATTTTTTTCTGAAAGCAATAATGTAAACCCAAGTAAGATCAGTCAGTCTAAAAGTGCAAGGTTTGAAACAGTAGGTAACGGCTTAAAGAAATTATACATTTTTATCAGGTAAATAGGCTATATGTAAAAATTGATAAAATATGGGGGGACTTGCAGAGTTATAGAAATGTACAAATATGTACAATTTTATCAGATTACTTTACCGTTAATTTGACGGAAATCGTCAAAATTTAGAAGCCATTTAAAAAAAAACCAGTTCAATAAGTCAGATATATTATGAACCTATTAATTTTAAATTAAGTTTAAATTGTTGATTTGCAACTATATCAGCAAATTACATAATTTTGATGATGGCGCAATTTTACAAATTATTTTGCCGACTTTAGAATAATTGATCATTGAAAACTTGGATAACGTATGAAACAGTTGCTGTAGGCAATCAAGCTTTCAAAAGTTTTAAAGTATCAATCTCGTTTAAGTTGGTGATTTCCCGAGAAGCAGTTCAGATGGCAGGCTCCAAAATTTTGATCAATGATGAAGACATATTTTGGAAGCAGTTATATGAAGAATTTAGAAAGGATAAAGCAGATCTACTAGAATACGTAGACATTATGCAAAAATGGGCTGATAGTCAACCACATTTTCCTGAGCGACCGAGTAAGTAAATCTATGAACGAAAGACTTTATTAGATATGCAGTCATTTGCATAAAATATATCTTTGTTCAATATTCAATATACCTCTGATAAGAATGCAAGCATCCCAAAAAATATAAATTAAAGAAAAATGAAAATCTGAATTATAGTGTAAAGTGCCTTATTGGCAAAATGAGTCGATTGAGTTTCTTTAGAAATACATTTTTCCTCAGTCAAAGCATTCATTCTATCGGAACAACTGCCTTTGAAGTTGTAACATATTCATTTTATGTTCTGTTTCTGCGGTGATTCTCCACGGGTAGATGGAAAGTGGAAGCAAAGCCAAAATTAATTTTAATTTCTTTGTTCCAGGTCATGAAATCCTCCGCTTTGTAATATTATACAACAAATTTAGCATAGAAAAAGCCAAGGCGAAATTGGATATGTACTATTCAATTAGAAACCTAATGCCGGAATATTTTCAAACCCATCCATTAAGCGCAGATATTGTTTTCCATAGTAAAGTGTGGTGAGTTATCGTCGAAACATTTTAATAATGTGAAGAGCAATTGAGAGGATGTAGCTTATAGCAGTGAAAAACAAACCTTTGAAAAATTTGTCAAATTACTTGGGTTACTTGAAATGTGGTTCCCTAAAGAACCCACACTGCCACATCATAACCATTTGCCAAGCGAATAAATTAATTAGCGCATTTCAGCCTCATGGTACCACTACCAAAACCAACAAGTGATTACTCCAGGATAATATACAATACACTTAATCCAGAGTATGACGATCCAAAACACTTGAATCATGATATATTTATATCCTCTTTTATTCATGTCCTGGAATGTTTGATTCGCGAAGATCTGTGCTATAAATTTCATTATATTATGGACTGTAAACCGGTTACAATGGGACATATTCCAAAATTTAAGCCAATGGGCTTTAAGAAAGTCTTCATAATATTGGAAGTGAGTATGTTAATAATTTAGGTGAAAAACATTTGAGCATTTCAAAAGGCAGATTTATTAATATAAAAAGGCATAAAAAATCTCATCAGCGGTGGGTTTTAAAATGATTCCAGATATTTCGATTTCAATTTAAATAAAATGAAGTTTGGGTAAAATCGCCAACTTGCAAAAATAGCTAACTTATTCAAAATATGTTTCAGAAAGTGTTCTCCAATAGGTTAGCGTCGATTTGTTTGGTAAATGTCGCAGATTATTGCGAAAGTTTCATCAATGTCGTAGTCAAACCTATTTTGAGCGCCAAGATGAAAGAAAGGGTAAGTCTTAACGAAAAATAATCAGTAAGAAATTGTAACAAAATTTGATGCAACAATTTACTATTAACCAAGCACATCATCTTTAAGAATCCATGTTATAACGAGTAATGAAAGATATTTGAAATACAAATAGTTTCAAATAATTTTAACTAAGAATCAAACGATTTTAGCCAGAAAATTACTAGCTACATTTGTGAATTCCCTTTTATCCATGTTCATAGTCGAACAAAGTAAAATTCAGTACTTGAATAAATGAAAAATAGTATAAATCATTAAAGTCGAATTGCTCAAATTTTTCGGCGTCCTATCTAAGTTCGCAGTTTGGCAATAATTTTATTGATTCCTGCAATATTTGCAATTATTTCAGCTGAAGATAGTTTCAAATTTTGAACTGACTCAAATATATGGCAAAGAGCGTTTACCCAGAGATGCAGGAGGAGACTTGAAATCACTCTCAGAAATGAATGGTATGTAATCGTATAAAATCATACAAATACAAACTTATTTAAAATAATTACACGGATACCAGAGAGCACCGCAAAACTTATTATAATAAACGTAGCATCATAAACTTAAACTAAAGCGGACCTACACGAGTAAATTTATAAGACAAAAGCGACAAATAATAGCACAAAAATTTGAAAAACTATGATGCTTTTTTAAAGTTGCCACAGAAACTAATCCAACTAAAACCAACCCCTCGTTTTACAATTTTAGCTCACTTTTTCAGATAAGTTTCGGGAAATTTTAATACATTGTGGCAAATACATGTGTTTTGAAATCTAGATATAAGACAATAATTTAAATGAATTGATGCAAATGAAAAATCATCAATTACTAAACAGTATTCGACTATATAAATAAGAAGAAATAAATCAGCAGCTATTTTGTATATTTTCAGATTTATTGATAGAATATTACGAAACGAAAAAGGATGTGTTTGATAAGTTAGAAAAGTTGACAGTTGATGAATCATTGAGGCCAGCTAAATTGAAAAATGATGAAATATTGGGGTACTACGGAAATTTCAAAAAAATTCAGTTAGATTAGATACATGTTTATTAGGCCACTTGCGCGGCCAAAGCATGCCGTTAACGAACAAAGTAAGACCAAGAGCTGTAACTTTGAATAAGAAACTTTTTTAGCGAGTAAGAAACGTTTTTAAGTCTGTAGTCAATAATTTAATCAATAAACGTCGGTATACACAAGTCGTGCGTTTCGTGTGAGTAAGGAACTTAGGGGAGATAGAAGGTAGGTTTCTGAATACACCTTGAATATGAGGCTTAATTTGGTTTTGTTTGAATACAGGCCTTTATGGCACTACTTTATCTGACTCAAATAATTCGGGTAAGCTTCAATTCTTTGTTAAAACAGCTCTTCGTTCAACAAGTTCAGTGTAACAGACACAATTAAATATGAATCACAACTTAAATTTTTACTAGTGTAGATGATAATTTAATATATATATTTATATTTGCGCGACTACACTACAAAACAAAGACCTCCAATGCAGATCCTTGTTTGAAGCTGGTCGACCTTTATGTGTTTTGTTTTTTTAGTTATGTAATACATTTATCTAGACAACATTTAAATAATAAAGGGTGTTCACATTGAAAATTGTAGCAAAAAATGAGTATCACTTGACCCCGATAGTTCACCGGTCAAGGTAGACAACGTAGATATAAAATGTTATAGGCCAGAACCTATTTTACAAATCTTTATTATCAAGATTATGCTAAAAGATTAGACTTAGCTCAGTTAGTGTTAGCGGCTTATTGTATAAATTACCAGAATACATTAGATATAGTTTTTTTTATTATTGTATTATCGTACCCACTATCTAATAATTTAGCTATATAATTACGAATAGCGCATTAATTATAATTGCCTAAAGCACCTAGCTATAAATATGCAATTCAATGATTAGTAAAAATTTCTATTCCTATATAAGTTATCACTCCTGCCAGCTCCAATACTGACATGGAATTGGCTGCTGGACAATTTGGCATGGCAGTTATATTAATGTACAATAATAATTAAAAATAAATGAGCATTGAAAACCGTTCATCAATAATTAGCTAGAAATACTGGCTTCTAAGTCGATCCTATAACTATGCGGGTCTTTACGATCCCACATTTCAAGTAAAACCGTGATATTTTTGCTTCGAGCCGACGAACTATATAATTGCACAAGACTTGCAACAAACGTTTTTATCGTGGTGTTTGCAACTTTAAACATTTGACACCGTTTTCAATAAACCACGTCGATTCGCAATGCCGAACGCGAACTTTTGCCAGTGAAATTTAATTATTCGGTCGGCGATTAAAATAAAAATGAATTTCAATAATTTGCTTCATACGAACAAGGAAGAAGTTCGAAGTGCAGTGTTGGAAAAGTTGGGCAAAAGTGCAGATGATATTGAAAATGACAAACAGCTGTTGAAAAATTGGTTCCAGTATCAGACGCATTTACCAGAAGTTCCATGTAAGTAAACTGATTTTGTTTCGATATTTATGAAAATTGGAAGGCTACCGCTCCAAAGCTACTGTAAAATGTAAAGCCAGATTTATATTTCTTGGCGTGTCTCAATGCTCTTTCGGAAACTAATAAAACTACAGGAATCGTCTAAGTGGAAAAGGTGACTGGTTAATTGGATTTTCTATTAGAAGCTAATGAACTCAGGTAAACAACCTGCCTTTGTTTTCTACATTTTACTGAATTTCTAAGTTGCTTCGTTTCACTATTGATTTCAAATTTCTCATAGAAGCTTTATAAACGCATGAAAACAGTTTCTGAAAACATCTGGTTTTAAAATTACAAGCAATATCAAAACATATTTTTCACAAAGTTTAGGAAGGATTCATTTCGCAAGCTACATTAGAAAGTTAAATCTGACAAAAAGCTAAAATAATCAACGAAATAAGGCAAAACATTAATCAGACTATAATAATTAGCAGCCAATCATCGTTAGAGTTCTTTGGCGTAATTAAGCACACCATTACCACAGTAAACGAAAGTTATTGGAAACCAGAAAAGATTGCATTAATTTTAGAAATTTTACATTACAACGGGTTAGTGCTCACCAACAAATATTGAATACTTTTGAAAATGTTCCTATAATTCGTTTAATGGTCCTAGCAAATATGGTGATCAAATATAAGGTAGCTTAACCAAAAGGACGTAAATGCAGACACAAAAGTTGATATTTTTTTTAATGAATGAAAAAGTGCTGTACGTGTTTTTATGTCTAACGATGGGTCATAAAAAATGCCATAATTCCAGCAGTCGGAAGAAAAATGGAATATTTGGACGAAAAAATAGTGAAAAGTTCTCCTCATGACAATGAAAATAGTGTAGAAATATTTTACAAACATTTCAATCAATCCCAAGTTCTTCCACTGGAATTACCTTTAATCCACTATCGCAGATCCTCATTTGGACATTTTTTTAGTTTATATACACTGTAAAATTTAATTTTTGTATTTAGAAATGATAGCTTATGTGTTTGGGAGTTTATTGCTCAATACATCCGAAAATGCATAACGCGCCTGCTTGTGATAAAACGTATAGAATAGTACATAACCAAAATTTCTAAAAAAATTAACGTAATACAATCCACGATTGGTTGAGAAAAACTGATGAAAAATTAACTTCAAATGAAACAATAAATTATATTTCGTTTAACCAATCATTCTGCAATTATCGAAAGTACATCAGTTGTAATTTTTCAGGTGATTCTGTTCTTGAGCTATTCCTAATAGTGAATAAATTCAACTTAGAAAAATGCAAAGAAAAACTATGCAATTATTACACCATCCGGAACGAGATTCCCGATATGTATGTGAATAAAAATCCCAAGTTTGATCACATGAAGGACATCGCTAATACTGTGTAAGTGAAGCAAAAAAAAATAAAAATTACTAATACAACTAAGATTTGCTGCTTTCAGATATGTTATACCTTTGCCGAAATTAACGCCGTCCTTGAGCCGAGTAACTCTTATAAAACTGAAGGATTTTGATCCCGTGAAATTCAAACCCCTCAATTTTTTTGCCCACACATACAATATTGTGGAGATTCGAATAAGGGAAGATGTGCTGCTTACCGACTCTATTATTTACGATATGGAAGGTTGTCAGGCAAAACATTTGATGAAGATGCGACTGGGATTATTGCGAAATTCAGCAACAATACTTGAGGTAATTTGTGTTTTCGAAAATTGGACAAATTTCACAACGCTCATAATAAAACATATGGAAATTAGCCTTAGAACAATGTTTAAAATCGTAAATTACAGCAGATTTTCATGGGTTTGCAACCCTATAAATTGTTTTGTAATTAGGTCGTTGCAGAAGGCTGATTATCTTTTCTTCAAGTTGACAATTAGGACTTGCATTGTCCGGCAAATAAAATTGGCTTTTTTGGCGCAAATATGAAAGAAATAAAGCAATATTATATACCATAATCGTTTCGCAGTGTTAATAAAATGTACGAGTATATGTAAAGTTCTCATTTTTAGAAATCATAATAACTTTTAAAAATTCAACTTAGCTAGTGTTCATTTAATTAAATGACAAATTCTATTTAGATAACATTGGCAGTGTGTGTTCTATCTATTTCAAATCTACGGAAGTTGTAAATGTATTTTTCTTGGTTTCAGAAAGTGTTTTCGACTCGCTTGGAAGGAATTCATTATATCAACCTACCCAGTTCCATGCAGGTTATAGTAAATCTGATGAAAACATTGTTAAAGGAAAAAATGAGGAAAAGAGTAAGTCTCTTGAATTGTATTTTCCGGCTGTTTCTTGCTAGAACTTTCTAGAAATGACAAAATATTTTCTGATAATTACAGCTCCATGTTCACAAAGACTTGGAGAGTTTGCAAAAACACTTTTCCAAAGAAATTTTACCTCAAGAATATGGTGGAGAGTGTAGATCAATAATCGAGCTCCATGGTAAAATTATTTCCGTTTATTTATCATTATTCTCACTATAATGATGAACTATCAATTTCCAGAACTCTGGCTGAGGAAATTAGACCACCATCAAGAACTGTTTGACCATTTGGATACTTTGCTGCCCCCAAGCAGTAACAACGCGTCTCAAGAGATTGAAGTGAACATACCAGAAAACTGTGTGTCTAATTTTCAACAACTTTGCATTGACTGATTGATGACCACTAATTTGATCTCTAAGATTTGACGATCATTAGTTTACCAAGAGTGAGCTTTAGACAATAGAAGATTTTTCATTGTCTAAATTTATTTAGCTTAAGACATACTTAGCTCAGGAGTGTGTGTGC